AAATATGTTTAGATTTGTGTACACATAGAATACGAAGAAACCCAAGAGGGGTTGCCACTGAAAAGATAATTGGTCAAAAGCCACAGAAGAATGTGAGATTTCTGTATAAATTTTGTACCACTGGACTGCATTATTTGTTCAAAAATCATTAAACTTTAATTTAAACATTACTGCAAGAACAAAGATGTAAATTGACAGTTCTAATTAATGACATTTGTTTGTGTTTTGTTGTATACATTTTGTTGTTAAATACATATGAATCACTTTAGTGTCCACAATTTACATTCTATTTGATACATTTCAGAAGCATTCAGAACTTACGTATCATTAATTTGGAAAACTCAAATTTAGAAATTGTATTGCTGAAAATAATGGAAACAATCCAGTGGGTGAGATGTTCCCATAAAGACAGTTAAACAGGATGAGCTATTAAATTAACATTTTGAACTGTTGCAGTATTTTTGTTTCTATTTTAACAGTTCATGATTCACAACCATTTTAAAAGATTCATTTCTCTGGGTTTGTTTAAAAATTTCCCTTAAATTACTATATACAACCAGTAATTTGTAGTCTTTTTATTTACTCCTTTGAGTCATACTGCCAAGTGCCACATAGTCCCTTCCCTGAGGTCATTTCAAGTGTTGGAAAATCTTGCTCTTCATTGTGGAACAATAAAAAGTGCTAAAGTTACTTTTTATTTATTTTTATAGGAGATGCATGCTAAAGTTCATATAGGTTAACTATGATTAGGTCTGCAACTTACTTTCAAATACTTATACCCTGTATTGAGTTATGTACATCCATACCCACACATATGCACACACACAGGTACATACATACTCTTCTGCTGATTATTTATGTTTATGGTTATAAACCCACATAATAAATTTGAGCATTAGCATACATTCATCTATCTATATACCACTACCCCCTCTCTATACATATATATATATAAACTTCAGATAATAGATAGACTAACCAGTTGATCAATTGATCAAAATATAGATAGATGTACATATCTGTAACTTTTGGATCCCAAGACTGATTTTTTCCTACTGCATTTCTGTGTGTACAAACTCTATGATTGATTACTTTATGGGTTGAAAAGTCATCCAACATTTATGGAAAAAGTGGAGAAAAGATGGCCAATATGATGGCTGTTGTCCATTTCATCTTACCCTAGCCTAGATGTATTATCTAAATTTTTCTGCCTCAATTTATGCCTCAGGATGCTTACCTCTAGAGACTGTATCATTGAAATCCCTTGCCTGAAAACTTTTAAAAGCTGATCTTTAGTATAACATGTAGCATAATTACCTTGCCTTTTCTGAACGTCAGAGTCTTGATTATAATTATAATTGTGTCGGCATTATTATAGAATCTGTGCAGAACAGTGAGTGGGTCATGCATTTTGCTCATATTCAGCTCATGTGCTTCCCTAGTAGCAGGTGTGGATCTATAACAAACACTAGACGTGTTCTGTAGTCGTAAGTTTTCTAGAGACCACTGAAGGGTCTGTTAAGAATGAATAAATCTCCACAATAAAATAAAAAGCATATCCAGGCAGGACATGGTGACTCACCCCTGTAATCCCAGCACTTTGAAAAGCCAATGCAAGAGGATCCCTTGTGCCCAGGAGCTCAAGTCCAGCATAGACAACATGGAGAAACCCCATCTCTATATATAAAAAAAAAAAAAAACCCACAAACATTAGCCTGGTGCAGTGATGCACGTCTGTATCCCTAGTTACTCAGGAGCCTGAGGTGGGAGGATCCTCTGAGCCCAGGAAGTTGGAGGCTACAGTGAGCTGAGATCATGCTGCTGCATTCCATTCTGGGCCACAAAGCGAGACCCTGCCCCCAAAAGAAGACAAAAAAAAAAAGGCATTTGCATTTTGCTTTACATTAACTGTGACATAAATATATGTCTGTTATAAAAGATGTAGATTAAGATTCTGAAGTAGTGCTAGCTCTCTCTTAAGAGGGGTCTAGTCAGAACTGTGATCCTATATGACCAAGTCTCTGCATTCATTAGCTTCAGATTCCTCTTCTCTCTGCTATGCCTGTGCACATTCTGTAACCACACTCCCACGCTGTTGCCCAATTCCATCTCTGCTTGGATTGACTCTGTTCTTTAATGTACAGTCCTAAAGCTAACTTTATGCTTAGGCTTGCTCAAGGCTGTCTACAAATTCTCATCATGATTGGATTCTGTGAAGCTTTGCTTCTTTGAAAACATTCTTTATCATGTTGGCTGTCTGTTTGGCATAATTCAGGGATGATCAACAAAGTGGATGTTGATAAGAAAATAATATAGTGCAGCTCTGAATAATATATTGTTGGCCCTGATTGGAATTCCATAGGCTTTTGATGTGGGTGAGATATTCACATACTGTGTGAATATCTACTTTCTTCTTCTATAAAGTGGGGGAAAATAATACTTACCTGATAGTCTTATTGAGAAGATTAAATGAAAAGAAGGTAGAATAGTAAATGGTACATAGGAATCACTTAATCAATGTTACCATTATTATTACTAATAGTATATTATGTTTATTATCATTATTAGACAAGTTGATTTCTGAATAATTTTCAAGATAAAAAAATCAATTTTATTGTAGAAGAAATTTATCGGGACAATGACATTGCCACTTCATTAAAATTCCTTCATCTACACCTAACTAAAACTATTTAGGATGCTTCCCTACTTAAACATTTCTTGCTTAATGTTGCAATGCCTATATTAATTGCCACAGAGTGAATGTTGCCTCACTAAAAGCTGAAGCCTTCTTCTGTAAATATTCAATTATTTAATCATTCAGTCCCGTAAAACTGACATGACTCTACTAAATACATTAAAAGGTTGTTCATTGGTATTGAGGTAATTTTAAGATAAAAATATTTTAATGACTGCTTCATTAGACATCCTGATACTTGTATTTGAAGGAATCTAGTGGAATAGTAATTGCCATGCAAATACATTTTGAAAATGATTCTCAAATGTTTGTTTTAAACAATTAATATATTATAAGCAATCTACTGTATTATTGTACAAAATAACATACACCCTTGAGTTCATTAGCTACAAGAAGTGAAAGCATTTAAGCTACTAATTAACAAACAGGTAAATGCACAAAGAATAAATCAATTTCCATCACTGAAAGATGTTTCTCAGTCCATCTGTTGATATTAAAACCTTTTGGGCTTTCGAAACATTCAAGCTGTTTCTTTCTAATCCAAGTGAAAAATTTTATTAATTTCTAGAATGTGATACTTAAAGGTTACATCGGAATATCAAATAACTTTCTAATTCCTAACAACTAAAAGTTGTAAGGCCGATCATGCTTGGCAAAAATAAAATCACTAGATGATAGTATGTCTGATTTTGAATCACGACAATAGCAAACTTAGTCTTCTTAGTATCTGAAGCAGATTATTTGACTATCTTTTGCCCTATATGATAAAAGTGTTTCAGTAATAATTATAAAATGTGTAACATATTTCAAAAGACAGGCATTGCTTTAATTTTCTCCACTTTTGCCTTATTTATTACTTTATTTATTGGTTGAGCTTCACAAGGTCAGTGCTTTGTCACATTGGCAAGGGCAACTCCTTTAAAATTATTATAGAATTCAGAATAACTAAATGCTAGTGGCTGGTTTTGTAAATATATTTAAATTATTAGAAATTCCTCCAAATTCCTGCAGGATACAAAAAAATGTAAATGTTTATGCAATAGTTTCTACATCTACCAAAAAATTTGAACATTCATCACTGTAACCAAAGGCTATATTAGTTTACATAAATAATTATCAAGAAAGTAATAATTTTATTTAATGAATTTAATGAAACCAAAATCTCTGCTCAAGTGATAACTTGGAACTTGCACCAGATTGGCCATGCTGGGAATTTAATTTTTATGCTCTTGAATCATTCTTTTGTTTTAAAACTAGCAACTCAGAATTAAAAAACAAATGTCAAAATTGAAAACATTAATTAAGTCAAATTTTCATATGAATTGTACCAATTACAAATTATCATACTTCATATACAGTTTGAAATTTTAAACACAAAAAGAGGGCACACACATTTTGAACTCTACAATGCACCCTTTTTTGATCTTTACCTGGTGTCAGTTCCACTCACTGCCACACCTTTGGCCTGAAAAGGAAACAGATACTTATGATCTTGTGGTTTTGGAGAAGAAGGGAAACATTTTGAATTAGTTACTTTTATTTCAGTATGGAGCTGGCTTAGGGCAGCCTCTTCCAATTTGTTCCTGTACTACATACAAACATATTTTAAAAAGACATTATATTATAATGTCAAACATTATTCCAATAATCAGATGTTAGAATTTCTAAGGAATTCATCCTAATTTAAGGTGAATGAACTAAAATGAGAATATCTACAGTTTTCATCACCCAGTATATTAAGATGTCTTCATAAAATAGTAACTGAAAATCAGAAGAATGAGGTTTTCTACCTCTTTCTCCCACGTATTCCCTCACCTGAAACATAACAATTGTCCCCTGAGCGCTTCCTTTACTAGCCTTCCCTACAGCGCCCCAGAAAGCCTGTGCATCAAGCAGACGAGTTAATTGGCCTTTCTGCAGGAACTGAGAACACCACCTGTGAGGCTCATGGTTTTAGGGTTTGGGGGTACGGATTCAAATAATTGACAGTGGGTCTTTCAAATGAGGGGCATGAGCTTGAAAACATGTTCCAGAATAGTAAAGGATTTGTGGACACAGCAATACGAAGTTCTTTTTTTGTTTTTTGAGACGGAGTCTCCCTCCACCACCCTGACTGGAGTGAGTGGCGCCATCTTGGCTCACTGTAAGCTCCGCCTCCCGGGTTCCCGCCATTCTCTTACCTCAGCCTCCTGAGTAGCTGGGACCACAGGGGCCGCCGCCACGCCCGGCTAATTTTTTGTATTTTTAGTAGAGACGGGGTTTCACCGTGTTAGCCAGGTTGGTCGCGATTTCCCGACCTCGTGATCCACCCACCTCGGCCTCCCAAAGTGCTGGGATGACAGGCGTGAGCCACCGCGCCCGGCAGCGATACGAAGTTCTTAAAGCAAGTCTTCATCAGGAAGGGTCCTTGATCAGCAACTGCTTGCGCAGGTGAGTGAGCTTTTTTCAGGAAAGCCGTTTTCTCAAAGACTGTTTGATGGAGACTTCCTGGAGTAAAAGGCAAAGTTAATCATTGGTTTATAGGATTTCTTTCTTGACAAGTGCTTCTTAGAACAAATACTGTGGACACAGTGGTCTCACTTCTGGGATCTGTGGGTTCTGCTGTGTTCTGCTGTGTGGACATGGGCCCACTCAGGTCTCACTGAGCTGCCTGTGGAAAAGGCCCTCCACTGGGCTGCCCGTTTGGCTCCCTCACCTCCATTCCACGCATTAATAGTCATGCATTTAAGCTGAAATTCTCAACCCTCGTAAATGACAGGAGTAGAAGTTGGCAATGCCTTCTTCTCTCCTGATGAAACATTATAGGTGGGGCGAATGAGGGTAAAGAGTAGATGCAGGTTGAGTTATTTTAGAACTAAATTATCAGTATCACGAAATCAGGCAGTGAGATTTAAGAAAACGTGTTTCTTCGAAAGAAGAAATGGATTGCTACGGAGGAAACAGTGACAGTTACGGAATAGTGGGAACATTAATGGGATCTGCTTAAAGGGATTTGCCTGCAGTTGTACCTCAGAGGGCTGCGTTATACCACAACCCACTGTGCAGGATTCAGGGAAACTTTCCCGCTCACACTGAAGATTAACATCTAGTTTGGTCTATTCAATTGATTATGGATGACTTAGAGGAAATGTAATAGAACAAATTGAGACTTGTGTCTTTAATATTGCAGAGTAAGAGGGAAATAAGGGAAAAGGATATTGATATAAATTAGAACACATTTCCAGCCATTAGTCTATCGATAAGTAGGAAAAAATGATTTAGAAATGTGAAACTCTACAATTCATAGGGTTTATTTAATGTATGCATACATATGAAACTTTTCCCATATATATGGAATATGAAATTCAAAGTAAAAGGCAATGCTTTGAGTAAGCATTTTTGAATAATGAACATGAGTCATAGATTTATTATGAGAGAAAAAAGTAGAATAAAACTTTATTCAATTTCTAGAAGATGAAAGTATACACTTATGGCTACTGGAAAATAAGAAACGTGCATATAAATGCATTTATATACATCAAACTCTTGAATATTAAAAAAACATTCCTCCAACAATCTCTTACTTAGAAAATAATGACAATGCAAAAACTATTGAAATAAGTGGGATTGAAAAAAAGAAACAGTGGATAAATGATGCTTTATATTTCAATTGAACAAAACATTACAAATATATTCCACTTTAGTTAAAAGAAGGAATTTGGAGGCACTGCTGCCCCCAGGCAAAAAACCAATACAATGTTTGACATTTTGGGGATAGTGAACAAAGGCGGCGATAAATGTAGTGAAAGCAATACATATTTTTTCTGCCATAAACATTAATATCTATGCCTAATTTGTGAAGCTGCAACAATAATAATACAAAATGCATTTGGAGAAATTATAATAAGGTAATTTTAATACTCTTGTATTATATTAAAAGGGAGTATTAATAATGATTAATTTTAGCCTTCAATAATTTAATTATGCATAGTAAAATTTCAAAGGTAACCACTTTAAGAATCAAGGTAGAGTTTATAAGTAACAACATGAAAATAAAATGAAAGAGCGGAAAATATGACATTTTAAACTTAATTGAAAAAGGCCAGATAGAAAACAAAAAACAAGAAAATTGTATAGATGTTAGAAATATATCAGTAATGAAAATACCTTGATTTATGAATTCTACAAAAGGAGATTGACAGATTTTTTCATTAAAGCTTTTTAAAGTTGAGAACACATATCTAAGTTCAAAAGTGATTTAAACAACACACAAATATTGAATTGAACAAACATAAATAGAAATACATACTGCCAAACTCAAGAAGTTGAATTTCTATGAAACATTACAAAAATTCATATACGATAGGCCCCAAGTAATGTCTTATAAATTTCAAAAAATGAGTGCCATACAAATAAGTTCTTTGATCAGAATGCAAAGAGCCAGAAATCAATAAACAAAAGATAAAGTTACAATTGAACACTGAAAGAAAACCATAATTTAAAGTATTCCATGGATCCAATAAAAAATAAAATAGAAATTACAGGATATTGCATAAAGTCTGCCCAAACTCAGACACCAGGCTTGAGAGACCTACCTTAAACTCATCCAGTCTGAATTCTAAATCCTTATAAATTTTCTTTTCTTTCTTTTTTTTTTTTTTTTTAATTTCCCCAATTTGAAACACTATTAAGATTCTGTCAAGGTAGTGTTCTCTCTTACTGCACTAAATCTAATAACCTTAGTTTTGTTTGATTAATGTGTTTTTCTGAAACCTTCTGGGGACTCAGCATTTGACAGAAGGCATTTAATGTGAAATTACATTAAGGCATCTTAATAGATGAGCATTACCTGAACCCTGGCTTTGTGTGTTTTCAGTGAATGGGAATGAATGATTGTTGCATGGTTAATATTTTTTACTGATGTGCAAGACAAAGAGCTAAAGTCTTTCTTCCAGGAAACAGAACCAAAAAGCAGTAACAATGTTACATGACAAAACTTCAGTGATGCAGTAAAATATCATATTATGGAAATTTAAAACTTCAAGTGCATACATTTAAATAATAATTCAGGGTGTCGAAAGAAAAACTTAGGCAAATTACAATTAACAGAGTTTAAGCAAGCAAAGAAGAATTTGTGAATTGGGCAGGTCACAGGACCAGAACAGGTGCAGTGTGACTTGGGCTGCCACGTGGTCAGTAACATGTATCAACAGAAAAAGGATAGTGAAGTTTGGAAAACGGAAATGAGGGACAGAAACAGCTAGGCTGGTTACAGCTTGGCTTTTGCCTTATTTGAACAAGGTATGAACAGTTGGTCACCTGTGATTGGTCAAAGCTCAGCTGCTGTGATTGGCTGAGACTTCACTGCTTCTTAAAAGTTAAAATGTGTTCACACATCTAGTGGATTAAAGTTCACTATGTATGGAGACACCTTTAGGTGGAACTTAAAATATGTAAGGAGGCAGCTTTTTGGCCAGACTTAATTTGACAAGACTTAAAGGTGATTACACAAACATCCACATAAAGAAATAAGAAACAGATGTAAAAAATAAAAAATAAACAATACAACCAGTAGAAAAAGAAAAAAAAAAGAAATAATAAATGAATAAGATATCAAAAGCTAAGTTCGAGGGCATCAAAAATGATCTTTTGTAACCACATTTTAAAATGTGCTTACAGAAAATGTTTTTTTTTTTTTCCAAAACTGATAAGCAAGTTATAAATTAAAACTATGATGAGTAAAAAGGAGTTAACGCCAGTAAGCCTGAATTTGGAGTCTTTCAGATAGCTTTATTCATCCTTCGGTGGAGGGCTTTGTAAGACATTTTTAAAGTCACAATTGAACTTCTTTTCTTAGAGAATAGCATCAGTCTCTACTGGTAGAAATTAGAGGACAGAAAAGAATATTTGTCTTCCTTTTACAGTTTTTCTTATTTTATACTAACATGTAACACCACATTAATAATGGCAAAGATTCTATAATGCCTTGTTTATTATGACGTATTTTTCTGATTTCGTTAAAACTTTTCCTGGTTTCAGCTATTAATTCTCTCTTACTAACATGAAAAACGGAAACAAGCTGGCTATTTGCCACAATGATCGTAGATTCCAGGTTTAATTTTTTCGCCGTCGGGATGTGTGTGTGTAAAGTGCATGTCCACCTCTCTCTCATTATCTATCGATTTTTGCTGTTAAGCCCAAGGGTGTAAATATCATAGAGATGAATAACAAAACACACTTTAGTAGGAGATATTCTGAGTATCAATAAAGCAAATGCTTCTAACCCTGACTGACAAGGAATCTGCTCTTACCGTTAATCTACATTCGCTATTGAAATCAGAGCATTTTATTCTCTTCAGCAAAGTCCACTTTATTCTTGTATTTTTCACTTATTACCACAGGGAGCAGAACCTTGTTCTGGCCTCTAGAGTCCTGCTGTTTGGAATAGGCTTAATTTTTTATCAGTCTGAACATTTTCAATCCAGGTACAGAAATGTGATCTTCAGATTATGCATACTATAAATATTAATCATCTCCTTTTTTTCAAGTATTTAAATAAGCATTACATTTGTATATCAATGCTGCAGGAAAAGTCAGTCTTACATTGTTGTGGCATAAAATTTCATCTAGGCAAAAGGACATAAAAGAAAAGTATTTGTTTCATAGATATATGTACAAAAAATATACAATCACCTTAAAATCATTTCTGATCTTTAAGCAATATGAGAATACATACAAAAACATCTTCCTAGCCCAATATATTCTTTGATTTTGAGATGCACTTCTTAAGTTATAAATGCTTTTAAGCACTTTCCTTATACTTTCTGAGAGTTTCTATTTTATTTCTATTTTCTGTAATCATTAATTTCCTTTACTAATGTCTGTATTGAATATATTTTCTTTTTAAAAAATATTTTCTCTGAACTTTTTCCAAATTAAAGTTATAAATCCCATTGCCTTATATTTTTCAAACTTTTCAGTGTCTTATTTCATTTCATATCAGTTTTAATTTTCTTTTCATGAGATTTAATTTCTATGGAGAATTTTATTCGTTCCTTTATAAATTCCATGTCTTCCTGAGAAAGCCTTTAACAGTTCAGAATTAGAAATAAATTTATCCAAGTTACTTCTTGTGTTTTGAAGGTTTTATTTCATTTAATTCATTTAATATTTGATTGGTATTAGCATTATTCCACTGTAAAATGAACTTGTCTAATTTATGATTATTTATATAAAAAAGCTTTAATAGTTTTTCTGTTGTTATATAAAAGTATTATTTTTTCTGTTGTTATATTTAAAAAATCAAGCTAAAGCAGCCATTCCTACCATCATAAACACACATACACACACAGACACACACACATACAAACAAGCATGATTCTATACACACATACACACACACAAATTAGGACCTTTTTCTCCTTAAATCCCAGCAATCATTGTCACTACAG